TTTTTTGCACTGCAGTTCTATTCAATGAGATCTATCTATCTATAAAGTTTCCTGATGATATCAGAATTATGTCACGGGTAAAAGTCAAAGTGTAAAAATCAACAAAGGGCAATAACTCCAAAATTAGACCAGGCTTTGTTTAGGTTCTTTAAGCATTGCAATTCTATCCAATTATATCTAGCTACCTACAAAGTTTCATGTTGATATCTCTAATAGTTTTAAAGTATTGTCCAAAAGTATTGTAAAGTCAAAAAGTAAAAATAAACAAAGGGCAATTACTTCAAAATAAGGAAAGGCAGAGTAATGATTCTTAAGCACTGCACTTCCACCCAATGAGACCTATCTATCTACAAAGTTTCATGTTGATATCTCTTATAATTTTAGAGTAAGGTCCCAGACAAAAACAAAGTGTCAAAATGAACAAAGGGCAATAACTCCAATAGTAGGCAAGGCAGAGTTACGGTTCTTGTGCACTGCACACCTACTCAATGAGATATATCTACCTACAAAGTTTCATGTTGATACCTCTTATACTTTTATAGTTATGTCCCGGACAAAGTTCAAAGTGTAAAATAAACAAAGGGGGGTAATTCAAAAATAAGGCAATACAGAGTTACGGTTCTTGTGCACTGCACACCTACTCAATGAGATCTATCTAACTACAAAGTTTCATGTTTATACCTCTTTTACTTTTAGAGTTATGTCCCGGACAAATTTCAAAGTGTAAAATAAACAAAGGGGGGTAATTCAAAAATAAGACAAGACAGAGTTACGGTTCTTGTGCACTGCACACCTATTTAATGAGATCTATCTACCTACAAAGTTTCATGTTGATACCTCTACTACTTTTAGAGTTATGTCCCGGACAAATTTCAAAGTGTAAAATAATCAATGGGGGGTAATTCAAAAATTAGGCAAGGCAGAGTTACGGTTCTTGTGCACTGCACACCTACTCAATGAGATCTATCTATCTACGAAGTTTCATGTTGATACCTCCTATACTTTTAGAGTTATGTCCGGGACAAAGTTCAAAGTGTAAAAATAAACAAAGGGGAATAATTTAAAAATTAGGCAAGGCAGAGTTACGGTTCTTGTGCACTGCACACCTACTCAATGAGATCTATCTACCTACAAAGTTTCATGTTGATACCTCTTGTTGTTTCAAAGTTATGTCCCGGACAAGAAAAGGGGACGGACGGACGGACGGACGGAAAGACGGACGGACGGACGGACGGACAAGGCGGCGACTATATGCTCCCCCGAATTTTTTTCGGGGAGCATAATAAAAAGCATGTGCATTGTGATATTATTTTCACGAAATTGCAGGTTCAGTTTAACAGCTTGCCCCTTAGTTTTTATTGACAATACTAAAACCCGGTTTCGAATATCCTTGTGGTCTACATTGATGCCGTATCCATTCATTACATTCATTTGTATATTTTCAAAATTTTCCTACAAGAAGAACGCTCACCTGCAAATGAGTATAAGGATAGGTAATGGACTGTTGTAAACGATTATCCTATTGATTTTATACATATTACGTTTATCTGTTGCACAGAATGGTTCTTTTTTCAAAGTGTACCAGTATCCGGATGTTGAAAGTTATCCGATTTTCTGCAATTACTGCTGTCACATGGCCATCTATTTTTTATGAATACTTTACCATTAATTTGCATGGCTTAATACAACTGAGTCTGCAACATTTCTTAATTTTGCTGTTTAGGATGTTCTTTTGGGTTTCAGGTTTTCTCTATTTTAAGGGGATGTAACTCATGTTTACTAAATCATTTGTTCTTTTCTGTCTATCATAGGTATTACTTACTATTTTTGTTGTATAAAATTTACCAGTTGTAAAGTCATCATAAGCATAGAGGCCCTGATGAGTGAATATTGATATATATTTTTTACTGACTTTATATACATGTAACTAAGAAGTACATACCTATAGGTATTCTGCTAGAGGAATCTTCTAATCAATATGTGATACTAATTATTATTTTCTATGTGTTTGTATATAAATTGTTAATAATAAAACCTTTGGTAAAAATGAAAGGTAGAATACATATAGGTGCTCATTTTAAACACTTGATATATATATGCAGTTAGTTATATAGTAAAGTCTAATGGAAGGTTAAAAGAGGGACAGTATTTGTTACTGTAAGAGATATGCATTTAATGTTTAGACACTCACATAACTCAATTTTTATTATATGATATAGACTTTTTGAGATTTTTTCTACTTTTATACTATACGATATCATGTACATTATAATTTTCTTTCTACAAGATTATAAATTCCAATATAACACCAATGTTAATAGGATGTTATATTTATTTTAATGGAACCTGGGAATAATTAATGTAATGTGCATACAAGTGTATCATAGTATATGGATATAATGTGTATTTCTGTATTTAAAGATTTACAGTTATGATGGATGAGACTTGCATTTAAATTTATAAATGATAATACATGTATTGATCGGTCTACAGGTTATAGATGTTTATGCCCAGTGTTAGCTGGCTAATAATAGTATCTATACTAGAGTTTATATATTATAGTTTTCTTTCTACTAGATTTTGAATTCCATCCATTAGTACTAATGTTGATTTTAATGTTAGGATTTCATATTTATTTAATAGAAACTGGGAATTATGAATGGTATGTGCATACATGTATATCTTAGTATATTGATGTGATGAGTCTTAAAATATTTCTGAATTTAAAGAAATACAGTTATGTCATTATTATTAAAGGGATTAGACTTTCATTTAAAGTTATAAATGATAAAAATACATGTATTGATATAAAATGTCCTTAAACTTGGATCAAACAATATAATTGATAAAGTCTCAAAAAATCATATTCTGACTAAGTTATTCTAATTTTTTCTCACATGTGCATAAAGTTTGAAAAGGACAGTTCTGCCCTCTGCCTTATCTATTTGTAATGGAGAGCCACCGGTCTCAATCTCCAGGTCTTCTGAGTCAACCCGACTACTTTTCATAGAGTAGATTGTTACTTGCCCTTGAATAAATTTGTACACTAAATTTTATAGTGGGTGATTAAATGTGCCACATGAAAACCAACAAATTACAAGAAGTAACCGGGCGCCAAATGAAAACATGAAAATACAACCTACCACAAAGTGGTTCGTTTGTTGCATTTTGATGTTTTCACCCAGTGCCCTTGATGCAAAATACAAATCAGCCTTCATAAAATTTCTTATCATAGAAAAATGGTTAGTTTTTTATCTGTACAAAAATAGATATTGTACATGTTTTAGCACAGTTAAGTTCACTTTAAAATTGACCTGTTATAAATAATGGCACAACTAATAACTGTCTAAGCCCTTTATTTAGTAAAAATAAAAAAATTATACAATCAATATATAAAATTTGTTATTTTAATTAAGACATGGGAGTATGTTTAAAGTTTATTTTCTTATTTATTAATTAAAATTTTAATTATCTGTTAAATTTAAAAAAATCAAAAGGGTATCTTGTCACGGTTTTTTAAACTGTTCACTCATTAGGGGAGAAAAAAAAAATGTGTAGCGGCCAGTAAGCTCAATCGCTACAGCGGGTACATTATTCTGTGGCGTCACAGGTTTCAAGTTTTGGTCAAGCTGAAAGTTTTTATTTCATCCTGTGACTGAAATATAACCATGGTTTTATTTCACTATGCCCTGTTCAAATCAGAAAATTAAGGACATTTAATATAAAGTGGAGGAAATATGTTGTGGTTTAAACTGGTTTTTTCCCCCTTTAAAATTTAAAAAAGAAAAGGTTTTTGCCGGGGGAGGGGGTTATTTGCCCTTTTTAGTTTGGGTTTTTTCTTTAAAGTCAAAAAGGAGGGTTTGATTTTGATCAAAAAGGCAATTTTTAGGCAGGGGGTTTTAGAGTGGTTTTTTCAAACCCGGCCCCTGTTTTTGGAAAATTACTTTTTTAATAATTGAAAAATTTATTTTTTAAATTGGGTTTTAAAAAAGGCAAATATTGCCCCTGATAAACCCCTTTTAGATCAACCAAAAAACAATTTAAAAACAAGTGGGTCCCAAAAAAACTAAATTTTTCTCAACCCTTTTTGGGAGTTGGTTTTTTTCTTCCTCTTTTTTTAAAAAATTCAAGAAAACTGCGTATGTAATTTTTCCCTTCCCATGACCCCCGGGGGTTCTTAAGTCTTTATCTCTGATAGCAGCTGGTTGATGTGGCTGGTACTCCTTCTACTACTGCTCTGAGTACCTATGGTGCTTCCCCCCCCCATTTTAGGTCCTCTTTTATGTCTTATATATGTCAATGACATGTCTGCAACCCTAAAGCAATAGGCTTTTATTATATGCTCAGGCACAAAGTATCAGACCTGGGAAGAAAAATATTACCAGATTGATAAAAAAAAACGTGTATGCATCTTAAAAGTGTCACAAACCAAAAAAAATGTTAATGTTAATGACCCCCTTTAAAAACATACTTTAAGTTAATAGTATATTATTTAAAGGGGGTCATGATTTACATTTGACACTTTTTATATGAACACAGTTGATTTTATCAATCTGGTCAATTTTTTTCTTCCAATGTCCAATACTCGTGCCTGTGATTATATGATGCTGAATCAGGTATCCTTGTATCTGGTAAAATAAATCTTAAGATTGGTTAATTGACTATAATTTGTCTTTGCATCTTGGCAAGACAGAGTCTATTCTTTTTGGTTTAAGTTTCAACTGAAACTGTGCCTAGCCTCCAGGTCACATGAAATGGTACTGCTATAAAGTACACATCTTTTGTTAAATATTTAGGTGCAAACCTAGAGCAAATTCTTTTGGCGTCGCCCTTTGATGCTTTGCATCAATGCTTTTCTTGTTCATTAATGCGATAAACTTACTTTGTATTTGTCTAATAAATAAGATGTGTTCTTTAGCATACACATATATTACAATTTTCAATGAACCCGGAAGAAAAAAAATTGTCCATACAAACCGGATAAAATGTATATACCACTTGAAATTGAAACAATGTTAACGGAAGTTTAAAGTTGATTTTATTTAAGAGATGCTTTTAATGCTGAAGGTATATACTTTCACTATTATTTGTGCGGTGAATTGATGTACAGTTATTTGTTAACGGTATACTGCAGCTTTTAAACTTTTAACGTGACAGGTGAGACAACTTTTATCATGATTATAGATACGTTTTTGTCTTATTATTTACCTACTACTGCACAATTTTCCAGAATAGTAATTCTAGATCCAATATGATATAATTGTATACATTATGGCAAACTAGGTAAATATTGAAGTAAGTTTTGACCAACAATTTTGGCTACAATAGCATTATGTTATGTTCTATTGTTTATCCATTTGAATTTAAGGCTACATTAAGAAGTTATTTTATAATTTCCCGTCCAAATAGAATTTTTAAATTGTTTAAAAATTTTTGAGAACCCCTCGGAATCTGAAAATTTTTAGGAATGTGGTCAAAAGGCCTAGTTTTGGGTTAAAAATCTTTCCTTTTAATATTTTATTTTTTTAAAATTTTGATAGAAAAGTATTAATAAAAAGAGGGGGTGGGGGAGGAAAAAAGGGAAACAATTTTCTGGGGGGGGCCCCAAGGTTTTCCCAAAAACACAAAATTCAGTGTGGTGTGCGAAAAAAAAAAAGAGATTTTCAAAAATTTGTAAAACAAAATTTAAAGAATTTCCCTTGCCCAAACCGGGGATTTACCAAAGGGTGTTGGGAAAAACCAAAATGTTCAACAAATGCACCAAAAACCCTTGCTTTCATTATTTTAACCGCAGAAAAATTATGGTTATATATATACAAAACTGCAAAATTGGTCAAAAGTCGCAATCCCATTTAATCCGCGAATCATAAATAACGAAATAATATATCATTTAGTTTACGAGAAATATTTCTGAAATAATTGGCCATTCCGAGCGAGGCTAATCTGTTATAATCTTGGACTGCGTTTTATACGGAAATTTTCATACGAAAAAAAGTGTGAGGAGATGTAAATCGAGGATATTTAGTTGTTTAGTTAATTAAACAGACAAAAAAGTGAGAGAATTGCAACATTGACAACAAAAACGTTTTTACGCATAACATTTTTTTTCATTAAGACATGGTCAACAGACCCACGTAAAGTAAACGACATTACATCTCTTAATATTACCTTTTACTGGGTTATTTAACACGTAGCTGCATTTTTACTGTTAATAAAATTAGCCATTTTAGTCAAAATCACTCATATTTCATTCAAATTTTATTCATTGTTTACCTGATTATCATCCATTCCTAGTTTTTTTTCAACAACATAAGATGTCGCATACCCTGAGCTACCTTTAACCAAAATTTGCAATTTTAATGAACGAGTTTAATAATAAAACAAGGCAAAAATGTTTCGGTTTATTATTTTCTTCATCAATTCATTAAAATCAGGAAGGGAATTCAACAACTTCTTACTCACACATCAACTTTACAGTGATTTTTTATTATATACTATAATTTGGAGTGTCTGTTTCATTAAACAATGATATTCTCGTGATATGATATCTTCCTTTTTTCCTATTATCATATAAGTGTTAACTTCAATTTATTCATATCAACTGGCATGCTTCTTTGTATCTAAAGTATTCTTGGAAAACAGATTGACACGGAAATACAATACTATTTTAAAAATAAAAGTGATAATTGGGTTTAATTTTTTTTAAAAAAAAAAAACACTTGAAAATTTTCCTTTTTTCAAAAACGCATAAAAAGGGGGTTTTTGAATAGTGAAAAAAAATTTTGTTTTCAAATCTTTTCCCTTTTTTATTTAAAAAACATTTTTGTGAGTTTTTTTTCGGGGGCTCAAAGGTTTCCCCAGGGTGCATGTCCCAAAGTTTATTTACTAAAACAACGGTAAAACAAAAAGCACCCATCCATTGAAAAAAAAAAGAAAAAAAAAAGGTTTAAATTTTTTAAAGAATTTTTAATGGCCGAAAGGGTAAAAAAATTTTTCCCCGTTCCGTCATTTCGTTTCCTTCCCTTCCGTCATTTGTAAATTTTCCCTCTCATCAGTTTAGTTCATTTTCTTGTAACGTTGACACGGCAAATTAATTTTTCATAAGCTATGTTATGAGAAAATACAGGTCATGTTTGAATTTGGTCATGGTTTGATGACTTTTGGCAGAGTTATGCCCCTTATACTTTGAAAATGATATGAATTTTTCAGTTTCCGCTAATTATCTCCCAAACGGTATTACACATTCATCTTAAATTTGACATATGAATTTGTCAAAAGAATACGCATTTTTTTTTCATTTTTATGCCACCGATTTTTTCTTTAATTTAAAAAAACCTTTTAACTTTAAAAAAGAGATAAAACTCATGAAAAATTATGATAGATTTGATTTTAGTTTCTCTTATTTTGAAATGAAGTTATCATATTCGTGATATTTGGAATATTTCTAAAATGTATTAATTTTCTACCAGCAGTCGGGTTTTCACATGAATTTAAACAGTGTTAAAAGGAGACACAAAAATCTTTCTTTTGTCCCTCTACATCAAATTTTTGCAATAAGGCACTATGCTTGTTTTCTTTTATTATAAGTATTATAAGTGCAGTGATATTCAATAAAAATCTGGAAACAAAGTGATCCCTCGGAAGCATTAATCACAACAAAATTACAAGGGAATTGCAGATTCGGTTTTATTGAGTCTTTTCATGAGAGATACTGAATATGTGCAACATCCCTCACGCCCCCTATCACCGGCTTGAGCGACACTTAGTGCTGGCATCAACGATCCCGAAGGACCAGAGAAATATAACAACATTGAAGTGAAGTACGGGGCAACTTTTTACAGCTGCCGCACAGCACTTGACACCTGCTGTTGTGAAGTATAAAAATCTGGAAACAAAATGATCCTCCGGAAGCATTAATCACAACAAAATTACAATAGAATTGCAGACTTACTTGAGCAGACTTAGAGAAATCCTCTATTAAAACTACAAACTGTATGTTGCAAAAATATCACAAACTATACCTATTTAAATCAGAATCATTCTTGTGTTTGTCATTTAGACGTTAATTTCATACTTCCAAGTATACAAAAAAATATCTTTTTAAACTTTTGCAATATTTTATGCTCCCTGAAAAATTTCGGGAGAGCATATAGTCGCCTCCTTGTCCGTCCGTCTTTCCGTCCGTCCGTCCGTCCGTAGGAAGATAGATCTCATTGAGTAGGTGTACAGTGCATAAAACCGTAACTCTGCCTTGCTATTTTTTTAATTATCCCCCTTTGTTTATTTTACACTTTGAACTTTGTCCGGGACCTTACTCTAAAATTATAAGAGGTATCAACATGAAACTTTATAGGTAGATAGATCTCATTGAGTATGCGTGCAGTGCAAAAAAACAAAAACTCTGCCTTGCCTAATTTTTGAATAATCTCCCTTTGTTTACTTTACACTTTGAACTTTGTCCGGAATATAACTCTAAAATTATAAGAGGTACCAACATGAAACTTTGTAGGTAGATAGATCTCATTAGGTAAATGTGCAGTACACAAGAAGCGTAACTCTGCCTTGCCTATTTTTTTTATTTTTTTCCCCTATGTTCATTTTTACACTTTGATTTCTGTCCGGGACATAACTCTAAAACTACAAGAAGTATCAACATGAAACTTTGTAGGTCTCATTAACCCTTTACCTCATATATACGCGAAACAACTCACTTTCGACCCCGCCCCTTTTTAGGCCTTATATAGTGAAAAAATGTCCTATTTGGGCCCCAAACACATGTTTTCGGTTGAGAAATGTTGTTAAAAAAGTGAGCATTTTTTTGGCGCTGCCCCCCATCCAAAAGATATATCAGGGGGTTGCCAGAAGGGGGATGCGCCAAGAAAATTTTGGACTTGTGAGAGGCTCAAAATGACCCCAGGTCGATCATAAGGTAACGTGTAACCAACGCTGAAAAGCCTTTTACTCTATCTCAATTCCTTGAGAAGTTGCAGCACTTTGAAATAAATTTTGATGGAAAAAATCGAGGCAAAATATTGATTTTTTGCAATTTTGAGATGTACCCTCGTTGCCATGGTAACAGACATTTTTAGACTGAGCATGTCTTTACAAAGGCAATGGTCCAGTTAACATTTGTGCCAGGTTTGATTACTAGTATTGAAGCATTTTTTAAAGTTTCATAGCAGTTTGAACTTGTAACAGTAGGCTTTTCAGTGAAAATGGCCATTTTTCACAATATGCTAATGAGGGAAAGGGTTAAGTAGGTTTGCAGAACCGTAACTCTGTCTTGCCTAATTTTGGAGTTATTGCCCTTTGTTCATTTTGACAGTTTGAACTTTGTCTGGGACAACTTTTAACTTTGTTTGGGACATGACTCTAAACTTATAAGGAAAATCAAAATGAAATTTTCCGAAAGATGGGATAGGTATCTTTGGGGTTTATAAGGGGCCAGTGCTAAAAAATTCATAACTCCCCCTTTTCCCTTTATTTTGAAGTTAGGGGCCCTTTTTTTATTTTTGATTTTTTGGGATTTTGCCCGGGGAAAATTACTAAAAACTATTGAGATTCAACATAAAAATTTTGAAAAGGTAATAAAAATTTCATTGGAAAAAAACCCTGCAATGCTTAAAGAACCTAAACAAAGCCTTGCCTATTGTGGAGTTATTGCCCTTTGTTCATTCTTATACTTTGAATTTTACCCGGGACATAACTCTGAAACTATAAGAGATATCATCAGGAAACTTTATAGATAGATCTCATTGAATAGAAGTGCAGTGCAAAAGGAAACATAACTCCGCCTTGCCTTATTTTGGAGTTTTTACCCTTTGTTCATTTGTGTATACTTTCCTGTGTCCAAAACCGTATCGGGGAGCATCACCCGGTTCAACCGTTTCTTGTTTTAAAATTAATTTTATCGCCCTGAAGGAAATTCTGTCCACATGTCTGTGTGCCAGCAAGGTGCACGTGTATTTGACGGTTTCAAAGTTGGCGTTGGGTTCAGTTCCGTACACGCCCGACCTTGAGTATGAGTCATTGTTTATGGGAGGCAAAAAATGCTGCTTTTGGAGTTTGAAAAAAATGAAATCACATACATCCGCACATGTCAACTCGTAAGGAATATGTCTGTCTGTTTTTAGTCCCGTCAATAGTTGTTTTGGATCAATTCAAATAAATTGCATTAATGTTAAGCAAATTAAAGCACTGCCACAAGGAAGCCCTAGCCAAACAATTAACGTTCGACTTAAAAATTTGTTCAGTTTTGGGTTCCGTCATTCATAGTTAGACTTTAAAAAATTTAGCATAGATACACGGTTTGATAACAGTATATGAAAGGGTGCACTTTAAATTAAACTTATCATACAATTCACGAATTAATTTTAAAAAAAAAACAACAAGTATAAACATGTTCATAAATGCTAGGAATAGCCATCCAGGTGGACATTCGAAACATATTTTTCATGAAAAAGACTCGTTTCTGAACATTAGATCTAAAACTTCTTCAATTAAGAGAAATATTCCATGTTGTGTGTTTACATGAAGGTAGTATTTCATTCGTGTATATAAATCAAAGGGCTGTAAGCTCTGTGGTATTTTCTGATCTTTGCAATCTAAATTGTACGGTATAGCTATATGTATGTTCCTGTATAAGTTTATTATTTTATTCTATAATTAATTTCACAAGGCACCGAGATGCAGCTACTGCGTTTAGATTTTTTACTATAACAGTTTAAGTTTAGTACATGATTAGAGTTGCATCAAAAAATCATTTATGTTCATTTTTATAACAGCCACACTTAATCCTTGCATATCCTGGCTACTTCCTTAAAATAACGCTTAAAAATAGTTGCCTAGACTGGGATAACAAAACGAGCGCGTTACCCCTGCATCACAGGGAAGTTATACGAAGAAAGCTGGAATAAAATAAAGTAATTATAGATTTAGAATTTCAATTTCTGGTTTGTAAGCCTTATTAATTTCGAGGTATTTTCTTCACGATTAACCTGTTGTTTAACACTGATGTAAATAATTTAGCGAAAATCTTCTCTTAGCCTAGAGCAGGGGTGTAGAAGTAGTAAAATCTTGTCAATTGTATATCTCCCCGTCATTGAACGAAAAACAACTTCGCGTTTATAGTTAAAATGAAAGGACCGTGTCACGCGCAAAACCAATGCAATAAAACATGATATAAATCAGAAGAACATGGCTGTGTCTGGCCCATAACTTTTCGTATATCGATGCCCAATTTGCATAAACATGAAAACCCAGCTGATGATTTAGATCAAAGATTAAACTCACGCTTATGCAGCAAAATATTTCCTTAAAACAAACGCCTTACATGTCCGGTCTACATTCTCGGATTAATTTAAACATAATTGTGCATAATTATGAAGATTTGCAAGACGAAATATAGCGATCATAAATTATGCCATTCATTGGGTGCATATACATGCATGCATAAATAGCCATATTCTTTATTGAACGTTAGGACTAGAGAGTCCTCAAAACTTGTTATCCTCATTTTAGAACTTTAAAATAATTTGCATATTGTATTTGTACAGTTAATAATTTTAACATCAAACATGATGTTCTATAATAATTGCAATTTAGAAAAAGGTATACACAGCTGTAATAAACTATTATTACATAATTTTGCTCACAATAAGTATCTTTTAACATGTCTGACAATATTAAACGTTTGTTGTAAAGCGTTTAATAAAATGAAATTTTTTTATGGTCAGCTAGAGTTCTATATTGTTAAGTTCGTGTAGAAAGATTCCATGAATGTTTAAAGTATCGGCACGCTGGTAACTAAAATCCTAAAAAAAGATGCATTTTTGTGTGTGAAAAAATCATGCAAATTAGCTTTATCTTGTATCTATGTATATTATATTTAGACACTGAGTAAATGGCTCCCTTACGTGTGTTTATGCTATGTATTATAAAATTCGTTTAGTTGTTTAGGTTTTATATTGCGCCTTTAAGAAAACAATAAACACATGTTGCATGGTATATATAGCCAAATTATTATGAATGTAGCAATGGCAAATAGAAAAATACTAAATATGTTTAATTAAAACTACCAAAATGACCTCATCCAACTGTGGCACGATGACTTGCATGTATTGAAATAAAATAGACTTAAGCTTTTCTTACGAAGAATGTCATGTTAGCAAGTTTAGGACTTCAATCCACTTCATGTTGATGAACTGAATATAGAACTAGATGAATTGCTCATATTTGAAATGGTTAGTGCTGATTTGCTTTTTCAGAACTTTCGTCAATGCAATATGGAGGTATCGGGAAAGAAACTTCGTAATTATTGTAAACCTTGTGAGAAACGTAAGGCGACAACATACTCAGATGGCTCATGTTTGCAATGTGAAGAATATATGTGTCAAATATGTTTTGATACACATAAGCAGTGGAAACTAAATCAGGAACATAAATTGGTTGCATCAGTCGTGGCAACATCTAATAGAAAAACACCCGAATTCGATAAATGTACTACGCATCTCAACGAAGATATTAAATTTGTCTGTCCCGAACATGGCCAAGTTGGTTGCGGCGATTGTATGATATTCTCCCACAAACCATGTAAAGTAGAGTACATTCTTGAACATATCGATGAATACAAAGACAGTAAAGAGTTCAAAATGTTGCAGAAGGAAATAGAGACATATGACAGTGACGCTAAAACTATTTCAGGAAGCATCAAGCGAAACAAGGACTATATTAAAGATGTCAACAAAAAATTTGCTCTTGATGTCAACATATTCAGGGATGAAATGATTGCACATATCATGAAACTTTCTGATGCAATGCTAAAATATGGAGATGATATTATGGCAGCAGACATGAAAAAAATTGAAAACCTGGAAGAAGAAAACAAACGCCTTGTTGATGAAACAAATGGTATGAGAGACACATTACAAACAGAAGTTGATCAGCCTTACAAATTGTTCATCAGTTCCTTGTCATACAGACAAAATGTCCATCTCGTCCGAGACCAGCTTGAAAGCATCAAAGCGAACAATACAATCGAAACGTACGACTTCATGCCTGACTGTAATCTCGAACAGTTGTTGGAAACTTGTAAACAACTAGGAGAGTTGCTTAAGCCAAACGAATCTGGTGCAGGTAAGTTTCTTACTTTCGAAGTATTTTTTGATGACACATGTAATTTTAAACTTATACGAGTAATGTGTGTCATATCAATAAAACGCCTAATATAAAATATGTTCTCAGTAGTTTCATTTGTTTTATTCATTTATGGTTTATATAATGGAATTATTTTAATGCAATGCATGTTATACAGTAGATTCTAATCCCGAGTGTTAATACACGTTCTTATTATTTTGTAAACTACTGTATTCGTTCTGCTTCTCTTCTTATTTCATAAATCAGCACTTAGAGAAAAAACAGTAAAAGCAAACACAGCAACACCGATGACAAAGGATCAATGTTCACAAACAAATCAAGTGAGTACCCTATATTATTTGAGTGTGTTGAAACTTTCATTTGTATTTTTTCCAGACGACTTATCCAATCATCACGAAATCAAAATATATTGTAAATGAAAAGAGTGTTTATATGATATAATTAATAATTACTAATTTCGCGTTATATTTTGTTTTCAGTCATTGCTGGACAGACAACTTGTTTGCAAAAACCTCATCATTGACGGAGACTTAATCAGGTGACATAAAATATCTAATTTCAAAGTAACTTAATATTTGTAATTTATATGCAATTATTTCAAAATATAAATGTTAACAAAACTTTGTTTAGTTGAAGGAAATCTTTACCTGCTTTGATAAATACGATTGATTTCTTTTCTTTTACAGTTGTGCTGTAAAAGCAAAAGACGACTGTGGTTTATTTATTGACAAACACACAATTTCTTATGGTGACAGTTTTGAAATCGAGATTGTGAGCATTGATAGAGGCGGAGGTATAGGTAACAGTTTGCAAACAATAACGTTCGATCAAATGTAGCTTGAGTCAAAAGTTTAGCCATAATTAGTCCATAATACTGCTTAAGGAATTAAAGAAGAGTCGTCAAAATTCTCATTACCTTCAGATAGATTTTTGGGCATATCATGTTTATTAAAAAAATCCAGTTATACTTTATAGTCAAGAACCATACACGAATGAATGTTATTTTAAAATATGTTACCATAATAGTAAATATATGAAGGATTATTAAGTTTAATATTCATTTTCATCTGTAAATACTTTCTGAAAATTAATTTATAATCTGCCATCACTACATAACAAGCAAATTTTGAAGAATGAAAGTTTTTTTTTTAATTAAATTTTTTTTTCTGATTATCATAGTATCCATATGATTAGTTAACAAGGAACACCGTGACTCTTTTTATTACATATTCAATTAGTCAGTAATTAAGTTAAATGAATGTGTTACGTTAAATAAATGTGTCTTACAGTAAACGTAAACCATTTAAGGTTTTCCTAAATAATTTATTTATTTATTTATTTATTTATTTATTTATTCATAAATTTATTAATTGATTAATTTATGTATTTATTTATTTTTTATTTATTATTTCATTTATTCATTTATTTAGTTCTAATTAAAAGTTAATACTTATCAAATGGGATAACTCTTCATTGACTTTTACAATAAAATAACACATACAATATATTTTCATTCTAGCTATCGGTGTGGTACCGGATAACTATCCAAATAATCTTCTACCTGGATTAGGAATTGATTCATGTGGATACCATTCAAACGGCAAGTATGTGTTTATTGCTTTTTTGTTAAAACATACTCTTACCTTCGCTTTTAAATATGTATGCGATTGAACGGAATAGAAAATTAAATAAATTTATAACTAAACCAAGTTCTTTCTAGACCCCAATGCTTCCAAATCTGTAAAACAAGATCAATAAAATACATGTTTTATTACTTGCGCCGTTTTCATATTGTCAGTCTTTTATGCATACACACAGACGGAAATGCAATGCATTGATAGGGTTGACGTGATTCCACCAGAAATATAGATGACCTTTTGAATGCTGGAAATCATGTCTAAAAGTTCGTTTCTTGATATTCTAATTAGAGACATTTGTTTTTAAAGTAAAACAAATAAAGAGTGGCTGGCAAAAAGTTTGCCAAATAAAAACATGTTCATGTATTAAAAGTATAGAATATAATATAGTATTTAAATGATTTATTTATAAATATTTCACAGGAGATGCATTAAAGTTCCGAACAATGAATAAATATTATTTTATTTTACTGTTTTGTTTTATCTAGACGACATATACTTGAATAAGGTACATTCAGTGAATAATTTCGCTCGATCATATTGTTATTTTTATGTGATTTTATAATTATTGGACATTTTGCAAATCAGTTTTTAACGTATATACATTTCACATGAAATTTTACAATCCCATATTATCAGATGTTCGTTTTAAATGTTAAATTTTGTCCATCATATAAACAAAAATGTTTGAGTACGATTACATTTAAGCGGTATTTCTGTCTGACTCCAAATAATGTTCTTCAAATGGAAATCAGTATGATTGTTAAACGAAATGCTGAAGCAATATATTTTATCATCTTCATCAAATATTGTATTGATAAAAAATATTTTAAGTGAAGTTCTGCTGAAACATAACATGTAAGTACATGCAAATAATAGGAAAATAGTTATAGTTTTAATTAACTATTTTTATAATTATTTACTCGTAAACAGTACTATTAACCATAATTTGAACAAATAATGTAGCTGTTTGTCTTTCTTTTTCAAAGTCTTAAACTAAAATGGAAGGTTAACTTATCAACAATTTTATATCACATTGGATCACTCGCTAATTTTCTTCAAAAAGGAATAATTATGCAATAAATGCTTGTATTCAATAATCATTCACCATTTGTCAATTTTATAATAGACTCAAATCATTCACTATGATCTAAAATAGTGTGTTTTTTTTTTTCATTTATTTAATAATTGTCGACAATGACTTACAAATATGTTCTATGAATATCCTGTTCCGTCACTCTCCCGATTATATAACAAAAGAACGTTTTGCAAAGCGTTTAGTAAACGGACAGTTTGTGTTTCCAAAAATCTTTACAACCACATTTTATTTCTAATGTATGTTGTGAATGTTAAACTAAATCTCTTTTATTAAGTAAGAGAGCAATATATTCAACAAATTCTTTAGGTAACATCTTTTTTTGTATAACCGAATATTCTTCGAATGCAGTATAATTAAATAATTTAATTTGTTGAAAAAATATATTTTTCATCTGCATCAAATACTTAATTTTGAAATATTTTCTTTCATGTAAAACCGATTTATTATTTGTTTTAAATTGAGTATATTACATGAACACACGTCTTAATGAGATAAACACAGTTACGGTTTTAATAAATGTGCAAACAATAGTTAACTTACTGTTAACGTATATGTACAGTAAAGGTTACTTCTTTTCATGTCCTGACATAAACTGGTTTATTCTGAATTAAAGTCAGACTAGATCAGCGATGTCATATCATACGAGGGATGATCCATAAAAATGCAGGCGTGTTCTGTGAATTATATATAGTTCATTAATATAATGCCATCATGTATTTAATTACGTTGAGCAATTTCTTACAAAATATTAGACAAAATAACAAGTCATTGAAAAACTACATACAAAACAAAATAGTCAATGTGGTATACCCGGCGAACGTCGTAGCTCATTTCATAACGTCTCTTGTATAGTTGTTTAAGTCGCCGTTTACGAAACAGCGACTTGTGAACCAGACTACTATCTGTTCATGTTTTTATTCAAATTAATTTGACTAATTTTTATTGCAATGAAAATTTTGTTGGAATATGACTGTAAACCATTGCTGGTCATACAATGGGACATTTTTGCAATTACTCTACATAAAGGTGTATGAACCGTATTTCCTATGTTGTTTCTTCATGGATAAATTTATGGAGAAATAAACCGAAGCCATGTCAGGAAAATGCGAATTATATGCTGTATGCATGACATTAATTTTATTAATTATAGATAAGCGTTTTAAAGAAATTTCAAATACCATTCCAAAAAGTCGCAATTAATGTTTTCGACACACTGTACACTCTATACGTAGATTTGCTGTATTCAGTAAATAGTTTATAACTGAAGATTTGAGACATTAACCAAGTCAGGTTATATGATAAATCAAAATAACCTAAAGTGACATTATTTTTCTATATTTTTTTCAAATTATTTAAAGATTACCGATCTTTGAAGCCTAAGAGCTCAATCATTTTCCTGATCATTTGTTTTCGTGTGTAGCAAATCGAAAAATTACGACATTTCTGTCATATTCTGTCTGTCTTACATGGAATAATGCCCTTCTGCACTGTCCATTGTTGTCGAAAAACGGTATTTGTTCAGGTTCTGTTTTCACCGGATATTCCATTTTGGTTTTATCAACTATCTTAAGCGTTTATTGTGATATTTGTACGATATAATTACATAACTTAAATATTATACGGATTTCTGTTTGTCTTTAAACGCCATTTCTTGGCTAGAAACACTGGTTACACCGCACTATCCTTGAACACTGTTTTTTTTTATGAAATTGCAACATTTAGAATACAATTTTTTTGATATAATAGTATTATAGAACGGAATCAGATGACGCTTTAGTTTGCGCTTTTTTCATGTTTATTTTATCTTGACTTAGGATTTATTTAACTTAAAAACTGACCAAAAATCTGCATGCGCCGCATATGTATTACTATAGTTATAGAATCGCATGACAAGTTTGCACATTATACTAAATATATTATAGTTATATGATATCTTATAAATTTACGTTCCGTTTTTTAATGTATGGTTTATATATTAATTTAAACTACACATGTGTAATTCAAAGGTTTAGGTCACTCTGGATCATCCCTCGTTTACCCTTTGATTCAAGGATATTCATTATCTTCAAACACATAACTGAAATGAAAATGTATTTCTAGTTTGGTAAACTAAACTATAAAACGATATAACGTACACATTTGTGTGAAGATTATAATTTTACACAAGTTTACTATTTTGATCAATTATTAATGATAATAATTTACAGGTCATTGTTAAATCCATATACACATTTTATAGTTTGATGTATCTTGTATCTAAAATAGTGATAACGTACACATTTTCTAGTTTGATGTATCTTAAATAGTGATAACGTACACATTTTCTAGTTTGATGTATCTTAAATAGTGATAACGTACACATCTTTGAAAAAAGTATATAAACAAGTTTTATAGTTTGATAGATTTTAAATAATAATAGCGTTCTATTCGGTGTTAAGACCATGTCTATTTAAATAAATAAAACATTTGGATATTTACTTGTTTAGAACGTTTAAACCAAGCTCCGAGACATTTGAAGGAAAGCTATTGTAACGTGATAGAATATTTACAAAAAAAAACATAAGGTAGTACTTGTTTGCACACTACATCAACAAAAAACAACAATAACGAATATATTCAAACAGAAACTTCGCATTATTTATTTTTTGTTGTAACTAAGAATATATTTCCCACCAAATCAGACGAAGCTATCAGTTGAATCTGAATAATTGAACTCATTAGATCTCAGTAAAAAACAATTTAATTTAAGTGTCTTATCCTTCTACAAACGTTTTCTGATATAACAAATGTTGTATTTTTTTCCTTTTGTATTTTAATGAATTATATAATGTTGTTCTTGTTTTTCCTCTTTTATTAACGGTGAATTATTACCAAAGTTCGAAGTAGTGAAAATACATCAAACACATACTTTACTGTTATGTTAATATCAATCAATATAACGCATTTATTAATAAGAAGCGTTTGTATGATGGCTATTTTTGTAGATCCAAAAAGTTTGTTCTGCCATCAAGCGACATGGAAACATGTACCTTACTATTGACTCGTCCCATATCAACAGTTTCATCTTTTGTTTCAATCAGTGCACACGATCTCTACATTTGAAAAGAATGTGTGTTATTTCACAATGAATGTGCCTGTCAATCATTTTCATTATAAATGTTTACCATTCTTTCAAATATGTCCTTTATATGTGTTACACTGTTTAAAAGATACTATACAATTGTCGAGTTGTGTCATTTTTTGTTCAGGCTTACAGGTGCAAAATCTGTATTTGACCCAATATACGTTTGTACACTTTTATACTAGTCCAATTGTGGCTAGTATTGTATTCAGTAATGTATACAATAAAACCATAAGAGTTAATGACTAATAGCAAGATTTTGTGTCTACATTAAATTGAATTTTTCTGCATCGTTTAAAAGTTCAAATTTGTTCAAATTATAGCCCTTGGGCAAACTTGATTTTTTCATTATATAGGAAATACTCCTTCTTGATAACTGCAAGGGCTAAATCCAACGCTATTTAACATGTACCGTAGTCAGATGCCCCCCCCCCCCCCCAATTTTCTCAATTTCAACGAAAATTAGTATTTACACGATATCAGAAATAATAATTCGATAAATCCAATTCTTTGAATTACAGACAACTACAACATGTTTGTAAAAGTTCATAGATTTATAAAACAGCCCTTTCATTATCTGAAACACGATAACTTCTAATAGCACAATCTCCAAATAGATAAATGTTCATTAATTGATGGCAAATCATTAAACTGAAATAAACTAAGAACTGAGTTATTAAAACTTTAACTAAGAAATGAGTTATTAAATCTCTAACTCAACATTTCAGTTACTTTTGGTAAAAGAAC